AAAAAAAAAAAAAAAAAAAACAGAAGATGACCGTGTGGAGGAGTTGTCTACGCGCCTCCTCCTCTCTCACATCAACACGTCACCGTTTCTCTCCTCTCCCTCTCCTCTTCTCCTTCTCCTTCTCCCACTCTCCTTCCTTCACATCCGATCCCCTCTCCTCTCCGCCTCCTTCTCCTCCATCTCCCTCACCATGTTTCTCCTCTCTCCACCGTCGACTCTTCTCTTCTCTCCCCGACCTTCCTCCCGAGCTCGGACCAGAACTTCCAATCGCTTCTCAAGATATCCTCACCGTTGATTCTTCTAAACCGGTTCTCGCCGTCGTTGATTTTCTCGACGGGTTCCATCAGTTCACAGGGCTGCCTTGGTGGATGGTTATAGCCTCTTCCACTGTTGCTGTCAGATTAGCTTTGTTGCCTTTGCTCGTTTTACAACTCAAGAAATTGAAAAGGATCTCAGAGTTGTTACCTCAGTGTTAGTTCTTTGCTTCTTGTTACAGCTTTTTTTAAAGAGTTTATTATATTTAGATTACAGTTAGTGATTAAGGAACATGTAATTGAGAGCAAATTCAAAACCTTTTATTAAAGAGATAGCTTCAGTGGCATTTGTCTGAAGGGTTCATGCAAGTAATTACAATCTTCTAGGCGGTGGTTAGTTTTTATAGAGGATTATTGTTTAAACGGACACCTAGGCCGATTTTTCGAACGTTTAGACCAATTTTTTGAAAATATTGGTTGAAAAAAATGCTTTGCTCATACTCAGAACGATTTTTAGAACACTGAATAATTATATAGGATCAAATGTTGTTGTTTGATTTTATATAGTTTTCCATTAAAATTTTTCTTTTCTTAGGCAAATAATGTTGCATAGCGTTGTCTCTGTGTTCAATTTTCAACTGTTCATTTTTCCTTTGCAGTGCCTATGCCTGTCCCGGAGAAACCAACATTAAGAGGATCTATTGACCAGTTTTCTCTTTTTATTAAAGAAAGTCGAGCCATTGGTTGTCCCTCCTTTTTGTGGTTTTTCCCTTACTTATCCGTCCAGGTAATAGAGACAAGTACTTCTAATGTTGATATAATCTTAGCAGTAGCAACACTTGCCTCACTTACCCTTTTTGGCTTTCATCATCTTGCAGCTCCCTTGCTTTTTCTTGTTGATGGCTAGCATCCGGAAGATGTCACTAGATGGTCATCCTGGGTTTGATTCTGTAAGTTGAGACTACATAAGAACTAGTTTTATAGTCCCTTAGTGTTTCTTTTTGAGCCTGAGATGATAGCTTTGTCTTTTCAGGGTGGTGCCTTATGGTTCCAGAATTTGAGTGATCTTCCTGTTGGCTCTTTTGGACCAGTCTTTCCCATTTTAATTGCTGTCTTCCATTACATCAACATACAGGTTTTTGCCAGTCGTGGAAACCTGAAATATATGTCGATAGGATCAAATATTATGCTTGTTTGTTACTCTTTAGAAATTATTTGTTCTGCATTGTTGCAGGTGGCAGTAGTGTTATGCGTCTAACATTTAATCCCTTTTCCAGATATCTTTTGATTCATCTACAGTTCGTCAAACTACTGGCTTGACCGGGTTGCTCATGAGAGTGAGTTGAATATGTCTTATTTTCTGCCTTACATAATTTTGTTTTGTGTTCTTGGACCACTAATTCTTCTCCACCATGAACTATCTTTGTATGCCACTCATGTTGACGTTGTTGTTTTGGAACTAATACTAAGATTGCATGCTTCCAGATGCTCAAGATTGTACATGTTCTTTTCTGTGTTTGTAGTATTACAAGTTGTATCTGGAGATCCTAAGTGTTCCTCTGTTCTTTGTCGGCTATGCTATTCCACAGGTACGTAATTTTCTTCTTAAATTTCCTGCAGACTTTGAATTCTCCTTAAATTTTGCTTCTCGCATTTCATTTTCTCAGTTATGTTAAATTTATGTTCCACAATCTTAGCATTTTTTTCTATTATTTTTTAGGGAAGTCTTGTCTATTGGGTAACCAACAGTTCAGTAAGTATAATTCAGGTATGCTATTTCGTCTATTTGCGGAATTTTCAGTGAAAAATGCATTTCCTTAAAAAAGACAATTATGTTAATGAGATCACTAGTGATTTAGTTTTTGATTTGAAACAACTTTATTAGGTAGTGTAGTGGTGACTCGCACAGAATTGACTATGGCTATATATTACAATGTGTAAGTTCCTCACTTAGAAATCTCAACTCTGCAGCAATTATCTCTCAAGCATCCTACGGTATTAGCAAAACTTGGTTTACTGGGTCAAGGGACCTCCTCTCCAGGCGTTGAGCACTCCATGGAGATCACTGAGTCTGTGATCAAGTATGTCGACTCAGACTTGAAAGAGCAGACCCTTTCCCTGCAGACGTTAGCACCAGAAGAACTTCTTTCTGTAAGTAGTGGATATTGAATACATGATATTATTGATCATGTTTACTTTATTCTTAAAATGGGGGGGTTTTGGTGTCAGCTTTCAGTTCAGGTCTTGTCAAAAGGTGATACAGAAACATCCATTCAGTTGCTTCGGTGTGTATTTCCAAAGAACCTCCTCATGCTCCTTTAATACTCTTTACCTATACTCTTTACCTACTTGTACTTACTGCGTCAGTATTATTGTTTTCAGATTAGCTCTGGAAAAGGATCCTGGATATGTAAGAGGTTTGGTTCTCATGGGGCAGACTTTGTTGCAGAAGGCGCAGTTGTCGGAAGCTACTGAATATTTAGAGCTTGCTATCTCCAAGGTTAGAAATGGATTCTGAGTTTTGATATTTATCTCTCCTTGACCTGTAGACGTATCTAGCTGGTAACTTCTGCTTGTTGACTGTGTAGTAAGACTATGTGCTTTGGACTCTTTTTTACTTAGCATCACAATTCTTTATGTTCCTTTCTCAGCTCCTTGATGAGTCTGCAACTGATGCTGAGGATGTTGAACTTTTAGTGCTTGCATCTCAGTGGGCTGGTGCTGCCTACGTACAACAGGTTTAACCCAGTCATTAGTTTAAAAAAAAATGATAATCATGAAAGTGGCTCAGGTCCTGGTTGAGTAGTCTTGAGTTTAGTTATGACTCTTTTTGCCTGTTGTTCAGTTCGTATCTAACCTTTCTGGCTTTCCAGGGAAATATGAAAAGCGGAATCATACATTTGGAAAGAGTGGCGAAACTGAAAGAACCAGGTGATGCTAAAAGCAAAGAGCATTACTTTGAAGCACTGCTGCTTCTTTCAAGGTACAATACATAAGCTTAAGATGATAGCTAAAGAAGGAATCAATTCAAGAGATGATTATGTGACAAACAAAAGGTTTTGGTTTTTGCTTTGCTATCGCAGCGCTTTGTACAAAGAAGGGCAGAGTCATGAAGCTGCAAAGATTTTACGAGTAGTGGTGGATCACAATCCGGCCTACAAACCTCTGCTAGAACAGTGTGAAGATGAGAATGAGCTCGTTAGCGATCTTACAAGTAGCAGGAAGGATCATTTCTGACAAAATCTCCATTTTTTCTGTAAGTATTTATTTGATTGATACCTTCTCTCTTGGAGACCACAATAAATAGTTACTTATATCAAGTTGAATATTTACACGGTATACTTGTAAGTACTTGATATTTACAAGTTGAATAGATGACAATACTTTATGCATGATTTGACCATTTTTACTAGAGCGTAGCCTGGAAACTTAGACGCTTTCTCTTGAGAGTTCACTATGAAATGCTAATATTAAACTTAGACCAATTATAGATTCAAATTCATTCAAGATGTGAATCTGCTCTTGAGACACTTCACTTAAAAAAGCTGGACATTGATGGACATTTTGGGAATTCTGCTATTTAGTCACATTTTGAGTTTGTAGTATCTCCCTCTTTCCCATCATTATGGCTATAACAGTAATAGTTGAGATGCATAAGCAGATTTTCTTACGAGTAACAAGTCCATACACTCAATAATTATTGTTAAGCCTAACGCATAAACTGATTTTTGAACATTAATTTTTTTAAAACTCGGTTGTTTCGTTCAAACCTGATTTACCAACCGATCTCTATAGTACAATGTAAAAATGTGACTGACTCAAATAAATAAATAAAACAATAGTTGAAAGATGAAATGCTATAGAAAACAGCTTAAGGGGATAGGAGAGATTATTTGTAAATCCAAATTAATAAAACTAGGACGAAAACTCACAAGAAAAATACAGAAAGTTGAGATCCACTACACATTACATGTTTGAGACTTGAAAAGAGTCTGAGCCTAGTACACAAGCACACACAATCAAACTAGTATATTCCAATAACTGACTGAAGGAAGCGAAGTCTAACACAAATATTTGCAATATCATCATTACTATTCTGGTTTATCAAACTTGACTGAGGAGGCTCGACCACGCCTGTGAAAACATAAAGAGCCTTCAACTCTTCTGCATAGCTAGCACTCCTTGTAACACTGTATCCTACTACCTTCCTCAACGCTTCCATCTTCTCCCATATTTTCTCCTCACTGTACACCTGAAAAATCACAACATTCCTCTTTAATTTCATCACAACTCCTACATAGTTTGACATTATCTGCTGTAGAATCAAACACCATAGACAACAGGCATGCTTATTGAAGCTATGTACTCAACTGCGTCATAGAAGCAGAGATTTGAGTAAAAAAAATGTTACTACACGCCTAAGTATATGCAAAGACACCATCACACTTGTAAAAACATCAAGAGTCCAAGACCAGATTCAAGACATCTCCACTAAAGCAAACCAAGCTACCACCCTGTTAGTAGTATAACAATACATGTGTGCATAATATGCCCTCCAAACTAAAGAACCCAAAACTTGAGAGCTTAGATAGTTGAGTAAAACCGGTTACCTGCACGCCCGGTTTTTTTCTTTTTCTTAGTTGTGTTTTTACGTTTCTCTTCCCCTGTTCCACTTGGCGCACTTACACCTTGGTCAATCGGCTGGTCAAGAGATCAGAGAATGATTTTAAAACAATTCAGTTATCTAGAGCTTCTGACACTGGTATAAGTTTACATCTTAAGGAGTGGTAAGTTCCACAATTACTACTTAACCTTGGTTCTTGATCCTTACCCTGGACCTTTTATACATAAGCATTGGGGTTTAAAGAACTCAACAGTCACTACTGGACCTAACCTATAAATTCAGTTCACATCAAGCACCACAAAACCATGGATAGAACTCAAACATTTGAACAGAATTAACAGAACCATGTTAATGTTGACAAACCCATTTTCTAATCTTGACCTGCCACGAACCATTGCTAATGAAGTTTCACCCAAAAAGATCCACCAGTTTACCCATAGAAAGCAACAAGACCATCACTATATGTATGTATGACAGTACAAATTTATTGTTATTGGGCCAGTGAATCAACCAACAACACAATAATATTAGTAAGCAGAATATTCAGAATACAGGTAAGAGTAGAAATGAGAATGTACTTAGCTAGAAGCAGAGGATATTCAGTTATGTTATCATTCAGAAACTAAACTCCCAAGATGATATATATATAGATTATGTCCTAACCTCGTTGGAAGATGTTTCCTCATTCTTCCCTCTAGAAGCTTCAGTTGTAGTGCTCTCAAGCTTCCCTGCAAAAAGGTATTGAGTATTAATACGCTACTTCACGCAAAATAACATTTTATTATAATCATCATAAACAACCTTCAACATGTCCAGTCTTAGGTTCTTCCTGCTTTCCACTCTGATCTTGACCTTTCCCTGACTTTTTTCCATCTTGTACTTCTTTCTGATAAGATCTACCCTCGTCTCTAATTTTCTCTAACAAGCTCGTTGATTCCTTCGCCATCTCCTCATCTTCTTCTTCTTCTTCCTCACTCTGTATGAGAACCGGCTCAAATTCAGCCATGCGTGCACGATGACCAAGCTTGACGTCCTTCTCAAACGAAGATTCATCTTTCTCTACTCCACTTGTCTCTTCTTCATTTGGAGGGAGAAGAGTTCTCATGACCTTTTGAGTACAAGCATAGTTTGCCAAGAAGAGACAAAAAGGAACAGAGGAGATGAATGCGAGGGTAGAAGCGACAACAAGTGGAGGAAACAGGAGTGGAGCTGAAGACACTACAACGCCAGCTGTCAGAACCTTCTTCCCAACACTTACTGCCTTACTCCATATCCAACTTCTCTTGCGTTCACTCTCGAAACGCTCATTTTCCTCCATTGTTTGACTCATGGTTGGTATCTTTAACTCTGCCAAGAACACAAGAGTCGAAAATGGTTAAACAAATTAACTTAATCCCAAGTGATTTATTTGGAGGACTCAAAAGAAACTTCATGCAAACACAATTTCTAACATATTTAAGAAAATAAGCAAATTCTGATATGGTTAATCAACTATTTTATCTTCCACTATAATCAACTAACATATTAACATAAAGAGATGAAAAGGTCTTTTAAACAAGGATAAAAGAACACAAACCTGTTTATGGGAGATTCAGCAGAGCAAGTAGGAGAGAATAATGGGTAGAGACGGAGAGAAATAGAGGCACAAAAACTTCTTCAGAGAGAGACAAGTTGGAGAAAACACACAAAGCAAGACAAATGACACGCGTCGAGGACTGAAGATTGCATGGTTTTATGTCGCAACGTGCCTCTTTGCTTTCTCATCCTCCACTTGTTCATGGAAATGGTTGTGTAATGTGTTCGTAAACCTGATTTTAGTTAAAATCAAAACTCCACTAAGTGATATGCAGGTCTATGTTAGAATATGATCAACATAGATCTTAAGCAATTTTTTTCAAATTTTTTTTCTTGCTTCTACCTAATTTAATTGTTTTCAATAAATAACGTATTCCATTTTTTTTGTTAAAATAAAAAAATTAGAAAAAAATATATAATATAATTTTAATTAAAAACGACTTATGGTAATAAAATTGTGCTTCTTTATGAAATAAACACAATACTGATAAATTATAAAAAAAAAAATTGAGACAATGTAAGAATAAAAGTTTGACAGAAATTTTGAAATAAAAACAAAACCACAACTATAGCAGCAGCAATTGCTTTGAGCGTCACGCGCGACCCTCGTCATCAATCCTACATCGCCCGTAACGCTCCGGTGTGGCTTCATCTTCTACTCGCGTTGGAGGCTCAGTAATGAAGTTTTGTTTCACCCGAAATGGTCAATCCGGATCATACGACGCCCGAGATGCACCGGCTTGACTACAACATTTACTCATTATGGAAACTCGACAATAATGGGAATGGGTGAGATTTATTTATTTCTTCTCCTTGTTCGTGTGGTATCTATTGACATCCTATTTAATTTCTTAATTTTTACATTGTATCCCAAAGATTATTTCTACTTGTTCAAGTGTTATAAAAAAAAAAAAACCACAACTATATAAAAACAATTGTTAAAGAGAACTATGGACTTTCTCCGCGTTACACGCGGATAAGTTAATAAATAGTTTATGTTTAGAATATATTTTCCAATGACTTTTGTGGATCGGTATCACTGTATTATTTTTTAAATATGAGAGACTTAGTGATTATTAACTTTTTACTATTTTTTAAAAATTAGAAAATAGCTTAAATGATCATAAATAATGTAAGAAATAGATTATTAATTAAACGTATATGGTATATGTATATTAAAATAGTTTATATTAATAAATCATAAATTAAATGTAAATTAATCTTTAATTAACCATAAATTTCAAATGAATTGTATTGATTTGATAATTATCATTATCTAAAAAATTATATTAAAAATAAATAAAAACCAATTCATTGATTTGATAATAATTATTTCTTAAAAATAGTTTATGTTGTGTTATTCAAAAAATATATTTTGTTTTAAAAATATTTATAAATTATAAAATTTAAATTTATGCATATATTGTGTATAATTTTATTTATATATTAATGTTTTCAAATCTATTTTAGTCAAGAAAAGATAATTTTATTATATTGAAATTTTTGTCATATGTAAAAAATTAAAAAATTAATTTATTATTAAATATTTCAAAAGCATGAGTGTTTTTAGTTTAAATATTTATGTTGCGAAATTAAATTTATATATAAAAGTTTATTCTTTAATTTTTATTCAATTTTTGAATGTGTAAACAGTTAGTTATTGTAATTGTTTCTCAAACTATTAATCTATTTACTTTAAAATATTTCTAAGACTATTATGGCTAAAATTCAGTCAAAACACTTGGTACACTATAAAGTTAATTACACTTCATGGATTTTACAGATTATAATGGATTTGGTTCCTTTTTTTGAGTTCGTCAGAATATTAAAATTATGTAATGTTGCAAAACTTTTTTCTATGATTTTTCTCTGTCTCTTGTGTATATATTGCGAAGAATCAGATTCACTCATATGTGGGTCCGGAAATTATGCAAAGATAAGCGAGAGATAACACCATAAAAAAACTTAGATGGAAACTCATACACCTCAGAAATCGGATTATCGCCTCGAAATACATAAATCACCAACTCAAATCAGTACCAAATTGGCGCAAGCGAGCTTTGTTCAGACCTTTCTAAATATTGTATCGCGACCTTGTAAAAGCTGAATTTTGAGGGATTGGATGCAAAGAAACATGAGGGAATGAGCTTTCTTCATTGTCGAGTGCTTATCGCTACGCAAACTCAAATTCTCCTGTTGCAGCCACTTTCGCTGTTTCTTCGAAAGGAGAAGGAAGCATCCAATCTACAACAATACAAAATAAATAAATATAAATCATCATGAGATGTGAAAGTCGAAGAAACTTTTTAAGAGGCCAACTGAATGTTTATGGTTGAGTAGTTGGATAATCATGAGAAAACTCAGAGTTAATTACATATTAATGTAAGGCACTTGCGTATGGACATTTCATCACCTTGAAGAAGTTCGCTGAAGAACAAAACGAAAAAATCACATGTAGTCTCATTTTTTTTATTTTGGGATTTCCTCTTTTAGTGTGATAAATGGACCAAAGAAATCAAATCTAACAGATCCAAAAAGTATAAATCTAAACAGAAATTTAGATGCTGACATGGCGAAACGAAATGTCGTGGTTGACCGATTATTTTTAATGATGTGGATAGCTTCACAAGGCTTCATATTCATCTTTTAATACTTGTTTGATCTTTCAAAAAAAAATTAAGCAAAAAAAAAAAATTACTGGAGGTGTGGACAAACTCCTAATAGAATTAATATAAAAATATGTTGATTAAAAATGGGGTAAATGAATATATATTTAATTTATATAACTAATATAAGTGAACCACCTACCAAAAAAAAAAACTAATATAAGTGAACCATACTATTAAACCGGATTACTGAAACCAAATTGATAAATAATTTAGACCAAAATATAAACCAAGAAAAAGAATAACCAATCAAAAAGGTGTTAATAATAATTTATCATCTTCAGCTTCTCCTCCACGGCCAAGAGTAACCACACAAAAAAAAAAAAACCTTTTTCCTCTGCGAAAAATCTCATGCCCTCTCGACTACCATGAAGGCTTGCAATTTCATCTCCCCTTCCGCCCCTCCCAGATTCTTCCCCACTCCTTACCCTCACCTCCGCACTTACAACGCCCCCTCCTCACGCGCCGCACCTTTACTCCAGGTTAAATCCTTCCGACGCGGCGACTTCGACCGCTTCGCCGATAACATCAAGTCCGGTAAGGCTTGGAGAGACGCGTGGCGTACGGCCAACGACGGATTCGAGCAGTTCGTCTTCGAGGCTAAGAAGACGGCCGAGAGAATCGACCGTGAGTACGCCGTCTCTCGCCGTTTAAGCTCCGCCGCGAGCTCTGCCGGGGACCGTGCTAAGGAGATTGATCGCGAGTATGGGATTAGCCCTAGGGTTAGGAACTTATCGGCTGATTTTAGTAGAAATTTCCCCAAGGTAAAATAGAAAAGATTGTGATAATGATTTTCTTTTTAATTATTTTGTTTGCTATGTGATTGTTATGACGTCACGTGGTTGTTATTGTTACTTACATGGCTCTTACTTGTAATGTATAGAATCATTCCTGTGCAATTTGGTTTGTTTTTAGTGATAAAATTTAGTTGTAATGTAAGTAAAAGCTCATTGTTTTTAATGATTCAGCTCCCTATGGATTACATTCACATATACTTGAATAATTTTATCTGCAATTTAGTTGCTTTGCTATGTCATGTGATATACAACTTGTTACCTACTTGTCTCTTGCTTGTGCTGAGTTTAGTTTTTCCTCTCCATGTGTTTGTTTTACAGTACAGGAAGCAGTTCAGTGACTTCTTGAACACACCACTCGGTGGAAGTTTTGCTGTAAGTATTAACATGGTTACTGTTTTACTCTTATTATTATTGAGCTGCACCTGACACTTCTCAAGTCTGTGAGATTTGGGAGGTTGAAATATTTTTGAAGGATTTTAGTAAACAAAAAAAAAATCATAATTTTGGGGACCTATTTTTATGTAAAACACTTTCAAATATTTTGGGGCAAAAACCAATGTTTTCATTAGGCTGTGCTTGGATCTGGTCCTGACTGTGATCATTTATCAATGAGTATCTACCCTTTGTGTTGTCTATAATCTTATTAAAAGCAATAGACTTGGGACTATGAAAACCAGAATTGATCGTCTGTCATGTTATTATCAGACACATAAGCACTGGAATGATTTATCTACCAAAAGACTTAATACTTTATTGATTGTCTCATTATGAATGCTTTTTCACTGAATCCTAACAGAGTTTATAATTCTGATCTTGGATTTGCATTTTTCAGACTATTTTCTTTGTTTGGTTTGCTCTCTCTGGATGGCTGTTCCGAGTGATAATAGTCGCCACATGGGTTCTTCCCATTGCTGGCCCTCTTCTCATTGGTGCCGTGGCCAATAACTTCGTCATCAAGGTATATTCTTACTTCGCCCGTTTTTTTTGTTTACATTCTTCGATTTAGTATATGATATGACACGACCAGTAGTGTTGAACCAAATCATATACTGAAAGCTTTGTTATATGATGCACAGGGAGAATGCCCAGCGTGTAAGAGGCAGTTCATAGGATACAAGAACCAAGTGATCAGATGCGAGGGATGTAGGAACATCGTGTGGCAGCCACAAGGCGACTTCTTCTCAAGAGACGGTAACAACAACAACAGTAGCAACAACAAGGGTAATTCTAAAAAGCCACCTAAGTCACAAATCATCGATGTCGATTTTGAGGAGAAGTGATATGAATCATATGATCAGACAGAGCAGAAGGCGTGTGTTTCGGTAGTAGCTGAATCATTTGCTGTTTTGTTTGTTTCTATAAGCTGCAGCTATGCAGAAAGGCACTCGTGTTGATTGTTGTGTAGTATACTATAAGGCCTTTGTGTAGATTGAACAAATGTAGTTTCCAAGGGCACACGAGGCGAGGAGAGAGCCTTAGATGAAACTTTGAAAGTAATTTATATGTAGTCAAATCATATGAAAAAGAAAACATTTTACATCTCCAGTTTTTGCTTATTCGGTTCTGCTTTGGTCCGGTTTCTGATATTAAACCAAGATCTAAATAATTATTCGGTTCTGCTTTCGGTCCAGTTGCCAAACGCCAAAGCCGAGGATCTCATCATGGGCCCAAATTCATTCACAAGGTCACAAAGACTATAGATCAAGAGCACATACTTTGGCGCTCGTATTTGATAATGAATCATCACGTGGCACTCACGTGGACAAACTAACCGACTCTGACGCTACAATCCTTTCCTCTTCTTCTCTTCAACGCTTCTCTTCTCCCATTTTCTCTCTCTGTTTCTTTTTTTTTCTCTCGAGAAACTCTTTACCGTTAGAAAGAAAAGTGCCATTGTTGTCTCCCTGACCATTGACATGGAGCCATCAAAGGTTCAACAAGCAGAGAAAACGAAAGAAACTGATCAGTGAGTAGTTAAAAACAAGTGATCTCCTTCGAATTTTAATTTAACGTTTTCTTCTTCTAACCGCTTTGGTGCTTATCAGAGAGCCGCCGATGATGGACGCAGAGGAACCTAACGACGCATGTGTTTCAGCTCTTAATATGATATTCGAGGTCTTCTTCTTCTTCTTAGCAAGAATGTGATTGAATCTTTTCTTTTCTTTTAATAAATGTGAATATTTAATTTTGTGCAGTCTCTGATGAGAACTACCATATTCTCATCTGACCTCGCGATAACAATTTTTCCAGAACAACATGAGAGATTCGTAGAAAACTACTTAAACCACTTTTACCATCTATTTCTCAACAAACTAAGTCTTCTGGTCTCTTCTCTTCTTCTCTAACCTTTTTATTTACAGTAACATTGTTATCTTGTTAAATTTTACCATTTACCCTCACGCTTTCTACTATTCAGGAAGAGAATGTTGGTGTTTCTGAGATTTTGATAACCGTATTGGAGATTCTTCATGGCTGGAATAGTCACATACAATTCGAAGACCTGGTGAAAATGAAGTGCGTTAGATGCAAGATGGTTACTCAATATCCACCAGAACCTTCTTTTGGTTTATTCATCAATGCCACTTCACTCAGAGAAACCAAGGTGTAAAGTCATCTCTTCTTTTTTTTTTACCTTTTATCTTTTCATCATAATTTAGAAAAAAAATGATGTTTTTGGTTATCATCACAGTCTGCGTTTGAGTATTTTACGTTTGAGAGAATCATTAAATTCATCAAGATCAACTCTACTATGACGCCTTGCAAAACAGAAGGATGTGAGAAACTAAGCTACGTAGTTGATCATATTATCCCTAAACTTCCTTCTGTTTTCACCATTGGTAAGTCTAAATTGATAAACTTTAAGTTACATTGGATAAACATAGAGTTTTGAGCTTTTTTTTTATATATATATAGCACTAGGGTGGGAGAACAATGAGACTGAAGAAGAGATACTTGCTACCACTTCTGTTCTGGCTACTGAGATAGATATTAGTAAGATATATAAATACGAAGGTGAATCACCACAGACCAAATACAATCTTGTGTCAATGGTAAGTAAGTGCCATGTTTCAGTTCCATTTTTTTTTATGTTTGCTGTTGAGAAGATTAATTGATGTAACAAGTCCAATGCCAGGTTTGCTCGCATGGAGATCAATACGCTTGTGTTGCTTATGGAAACGATAGATGGGTCTGTTACTATCCTTTTGAGCAAGAGGTAAAAAGCTTATAACTTATTTATTTTGTAGTACAAGAAAAAGTTATTCAATATGTGACTTGATTAGCAGATTGTGTGTAGGTTATGGGAGACTGGGGTAGTGTTATCGACACTTTTGTACGACTGAATATGCGACCTGAGATTCTATTTTTTGAAAATGTAAGTAAGCTACTACTTATGTTTTTTTGTTTCCTTATGTGTGTGTGTGTGTTTTCTCAACTCTCTACTTACTTGGAATTTCAGGATATGCAGAGGAAGCAGATTGTGAAACTCCAGATAAATACACCAATTGCTGTGAAAAATAGGGTTATAGAAAAATGGCACCAACTGCAAATGTTTCTGTTATTCCTTCAGCCCCAATCTTGATTGGTATGATGTATCACTGAACAAAAGTACTATTTTTTCTAAATGCACAGCTTATTATTAGTATACAGTGTGTTGTTGTTAACGGAAGATTTGTTTTCCCTCTGTGAGATTTTGTAATATCTTTCATCAAATTTTCCCTCTGTCATATTATATTAGACATATAAAAGTTCACTTCAGGAATTGTCTGCAGTTCCTGGAGTAACTTCACAGTGCATATTCAGGAATTGTCTGCAGTTCCTGGAGTAACTTAACAGTGCATTGTATTTTCGACTCATCTGTTCACACAATCCACACAATTTCTTTTGAGCTATAACACTCTACATACAGCCAATGTCATCACACACATGTCTGACCCATCAAGTTTACAATTCAACTCCAGAAACACAAAGGAAACTGCTTCCTATTTAATGGAAGCTTTGTTTACAATTTGTTGGGTTTAGATAGTATTTATACACGTACACTAGGGATGGTTGAGATGAGTGAACCAAATCTGTTATATCTTAACTTCACATGAATATCAATGTGCTTTAATCAGATGACGAACACATTGTTTTTGAATTGGAATATGTCATTCCGATACATTTGCTACACCATCAATCAGTGGGGCTTCATAAAACAGAATCTTAGGCCGAACCTTCCTTTCTCCACAGAAACTGATCACACTCTCCCAGTTCCCAACAGCCTGTTGTATCACCACACAACATACTAACAATGTCTCAGTTCACAACTAAACTAACTCAACAAGTACAAAGTAAACTGTTTAGTCTTCTTACCTCTTCTGTAGACGCACCATGTCTAACACCGACCCACCTATCCTTTTCATATGCTAGGCAGATGTGTTCTTCGTCTTCACCACAACCAACCTGCATACATTTCCATATTGTGAGACAGTAACAGAGAAAAAACACAGAAGAAATAATAGGACCATGTTTCAGACTTTACCATTGACACAAGCCGGTATTTTGTGTTTGGCCCTAAGCCTTCGTATAGCCTGCTCATATCTATCTCCCAGTCTAAAGCCTTTGTTGTTTCAGATATCTCTTTATCCGTTTCATGCTTCTCCCATTCCAGCACTAGTGTTGCAAACCCACCCACAAAACACCAAACATTTGTTTAAATGAAATGAGTACACAAGATCGCAATCATGGTTAAAATGTACTTACCAACTGTGAATATAGACGGGCATCTACTAATAATGTGATGAACAAAGTTTGCATTTCCACAGCCTCCTGTTTTAACGTCACATAACATTTTATCTTCCATGCGAATCATTTTAAGGATGTCCTCAAACTTTATATCCCCAAAAGCACACTGTATAACCAATCAAATAAAACAACTTATAAAGTCGTAGTGTACCAATTTCTATAGGAAAGACAAAAAGGGAAATAAATGAAATGTACCTTCAGGTCTCTGATTGAATCTGCAGCCATAACGATTCCATAAGAACTTTGCTCAGGAAAATTGGGCTTCTGCCTGCATCTGCTACAACTCATTCTTTCATATTCTTCAAGTGTAAAGAGGCGAGTTACCAAGCTCTCTCTTTCTGGACTTTTACAGCTATGCCAAGTCTCAAGGATGGATACAACTATCTCAGCGGTATCACTTGACTGCAACGAGTTAAAAAAAACAAGATTACATAACAATACCATTCTTAGAAGCTTATATATATCTGCACAAACCATGGAAATAAATTCTCTGGAAGTAAGTAAATCGCTCAGGATATAGCTGTGGAGTAACTCAGGATTTTGTTTCTCATTTTGCATTAATTCCTCTTTCAGGATCTTAATGTGCAATAGGGCCTGCATTACCACATGTTTTTTGAGAAGATATCTAAGAGACCACCGAAGTAACGAGATATAGAATCAGAACTAGAAGATGAGAGTTTACGTATTACCTTCAGGGTCATGTCAAGAACTGAATTGCATCTGGCTGCACCTTCTCTAAGTACTGACTCTTCTCCAGGCATGTTTTGAATACCTTGAAGATGGCGAATGAAACAAAACAAGATTTATGCAACTTAACTCGAAGAGGTTTAGAATTTTCGTCTTCAGCAAAGTTCTTTCACAACCTTGAGCAGCTTCCTCTTCATCCACAGTGTTGGATGACATTTCCAACCGACCCCTTTCACTTGAAAGACTATTATCTGGTGGTTCCATAGAATCTTTTTCCGTCGTTTGTAGTGATGGAGATGTACCTTGGAGATCACTGGACACGAAAGGACACGTTTTGTTCACATTTTCGTCAGAGACAATTAATCAACATGCAGAAAAACAGAGGCTTGAGGTACTTACTGTTCAACAGTCTTATCAATGGGGCTAGACATGCTCGTTGAAGTTTTCTGTTGCATTAAGTAAGACAATCCCTTCTTACAATAAAAATTCAGAAAAGCAAATCGAGAAAATTAAAACTCTAAGGACCTTATGTTTCTTCTTCTTTGACTGTGGCTTCTTTTCCTCTTCGAGTAGAAGATCTGCTTCTGCTGCAGCTACGGTTATTACCTCCTAGAGAATGACTCAAAAGACATAATATAAGGAACAAGTGACAGACGGTCTGCAACAGAAGGAAGACGAAAACCGAAATTTCAAACCGACCAGCAAGTATTCTTTAAGTGGTCGAAGGATGTAAGAGCGGTAGTCAAAAACAGAAAGTCTTATGAGGTCGTTGAACAAACTAATCCTTGAATTCTCAACCAGCAACATCTTTGTATCGACTAGCGGAACCTGCAAATCAAGAAACACTTTTAAGGCTAAGTTATCTCTATTGCTAATTTAAAAATCTGATCAGGAATGAACCTTATCAGCGACCATTGATCTCAAACGGTCTATGGACTTGAGGACTACATCATCGCTGAGATCTCTATGCACATGTATACGCTTCAGGCAATCTTCTAAATCTAGGAAATCGTATATCGGATGTGGTGCTTCTTCAAGAGCATCTCGTACTGAACACAAGAACAGACGTGTATTGAGAGAATCTCTAGCCTCTGTCTTCCTCCTTTCACATTCATCGCCTAGAAGAGATGCATATTTTTTGTTCCATTGATGTTCCGGATCACTCACTCTCTTATTATTTTCGCTTACACATAAGTTTATGGCGTCAACAAGACCTACATCATAACCTAGCATCTGCAACTTCTTTGCATATTTGGTTCCCAAAGTCCTACAAGTGAACTGAACAGCTCTCAAAACAGCCACCCAAATATCTAGATTGTGTGTCCTCACAGGACTTGGAAAACGAAATCTCTCATCATCTCCTCCAGAGAAGTGATCAGCTAACCAAGACACTATATCATCTCCACGAGCATGTGCCTTGGCATAGTGATCATTAGGGTAAAAACTGACAGTCCCTTCATCATCGAACTGAGTAATCTCACATCTGAGCAGTCTCTTATCCAAAAGCAGAGATGATGGAAACTGCTTGTCGAAGTCTATCTTTTCTTTAACTCGAGCACCTCTGTAGAAACTGTCCACTGCTCTGAAAATCATCTCTCTGCCATCTTCCCTTTCACACTTTACCCGTTTGAGAAGGTCTAGAATCTGTTTGAGCCCACTTCTTTCCAAAAAGCAGATACTCTGAGGTGTTTCCACTAGGCGGCCACACTCTGTAGTAACAGTATCCTTGGAAACTTCGAACTGTGCCTCGAGATGCTTAACCACAAAACGCATCAACCAATCTCGAAGTCCACAAGAGAGAATCTTACGCTCACAAAACAACACAAGTAGCAACTGAATCTCCTTGAGTAACTTTTTGCGTTCTTCATCTCTAGCTAACGGCCAGTCTCTGGACCATCCGTTCTCATACAAGAACACTTTCACAAACTCGAGCCGAGTCTTGATCATTTCGGAAGCAGCTGATGTATCCACTGGCTCCCAAACTCCTTCAACTTTTACCATACAACCCCACGCTTCATCTACCACCTGAGCCATATGCTCTGCCCTAGACGGCTTAAACTTCACAACATGTTCCTTTTCAAGATGAATTTTAAACTTTTTAAGTGTAAAGAACTCTTGAGAACAAGATCTACACATCCACAATCTCCATTTCTTGTGACTCACTGCAGAACCGATAACTTTCTCCAAAGCATCCCTTCCCTCTTTGCCATAGAATCTCTGCACATAGCTTGTGAAATCCGCAATGCTCACTTCCATAAACTTCCTTTTGACCTCAACATTCAAACCTGACCAGTACGGTCTCAACCCTTCAACGTCAATCTTTAATTTCTTGGATTCTTTAACTTGCGGCTCACGTGTATCCCTAGGAGAACCATCAGCGAGCCTTGTCTTCGCAGCGTCGAGTGTTTTCTCGGCCTCTCTTCGACTCTTCTCCACTTCCGAACTAAATTCATCAAAAGACAGAAGAGACAGATACTCTTTTGCTTTGCGTATGGATTTCTTCAAGTACAGTGGCGATCCGAGCAAACAGCCCAAACCATAGAGCGAAACAGCGCAGAACGATGAGAGGCCTCCGTTTACCGAAAAGCATTCCACAGAGCCAAGTAGAAACGCGACTTTCACGTCGTTAGAGTCTCCTCTCGTGGCTTCTCTGAAGAAGATTTTACCTTGCCGGAAAGAGAAAAAGTTTAGGATCTTCTCCTTCTTCTTCTCCTTGTTAAGAGTAGAGGTCCAGGTTTCGATGACCTCCAAGGCCTTGATGTGATCTCCTTGAGCGATGTAATCTTTAGTAAGTTGTTGGATTTTTTGTGCTTCCTCATCACCGTCTGCGAAGTAAGCGTCGTCCATGTAGAGAGATTTTCTTGGTGGTTTTCGAGGAAAGCTGAGGAGGGAAAATAGACGGTTAGTTAGGTGTGTTCGTTGAAGAGGACCCCCACTTTATCACTGAGGGTCACGTGACAATCACGTGATAGGCTGCTTGGAGAGAGAGGCCCATTTAGAAAAAGGCATTCTGTCGAGCAGCTTGTGGGCAAAAAAAACGTCTTAGAAGAAGAAACGTCTTTCCAGGAGAGTTTTAGCCGATTCAAATCTGATCATGGAGATGGAGTC